TTAAAAGATTTAAACAGTTGTTTTGATGACCATGCAGTACTGTTCAYACAGTATATGGGAGTTATATGGTTGTTTGTCCTGGAAAGTTGGATTGTATTTTTTTACTCTATTCACCTTGGAGGTTGTACACAAATTTATTCACAAGTATGATCATAAATATGCTTAAAATCTGCACGGTAACAGTTTTTTTTWAAAAAAAAAGAGCAGAAAACTAAACATATTGATTTCATATCGATGTGCTTTGTAAAGGTAAAAAAAAKGTTGCGTACAAATATCATTAGAAGTATCTGCTTTAGTACATTTTCTCTTGGTGCATTATTCTTGTGCAGTTAAKTAACCGGCTGCTGTGTGTGGTTGGGAGGTGTTGCTGCAATGCCCCTGCTGAAGGGCAAACAGTAAGACCCTGGTCAGCATGATGCAGGTCTCCTGAGACGTCCAGGAGGTGGTGGATCAATAATGTTTCCTCCTGCAGTTCAGAAGCCTCGCTGTCCCAACCCCCCCTCACCATTTGGCTTGACTTTGTGCTTTTTATAGTATCCCTATGGATTAACAAGACTCCAATCAATGGGCCAAACTTACTATCACACTGCACTCCCCATCGTCCTCCCATTCTGCATATCTGCTTGTGTCAGCACCTTTTTCCTGCTAACTTTTAGCTGTTTTGGTTTCCTGCAACATTAAAAAGTGCAGTTTTTAATGCTGTTACAAAYATGTAGAGACAAAAGAATGAAGTGTTCGGTTTTTAAATGGAGGTGCTACAGTTCGTGTCTAAATGGCAATTCTTATTAATGTGACTACTTTCTTTTTTTTTTGTTGAAAGCCTTTGCTCTGTTTTAAAGCTCTRTGGCATCCCGTTAACCAAAGTCACTTTAAACAGGAGTGCCAGTTAAAATTTTGTTGCCAGGAGTTTAATTTGGTGCCAGAAATAYGTTTAAACGGGTTTATTAGAAGCGCACAAAGAAACTGATTCTGTAACAGCAACTTTATAAGASGGTCACACCCACACCAACCTCCACAGAATCAAATAAACATGTTTTATACAAGTCTTCTTCCTTTCTTTTTGCTTATTTAACTAATTTATTGCAGCCTTTAAAAATTCAAAAGTAATATAAGACCAGACGGGAATAAACCTTTTGTTGCGAAACACGGTTCTGGACAARTCTGTGTACCACTTCACTCAGTTTATGTTGGCTGTACAGGTAATGTTCTCAATTTGTTCACCTTTGAAGTATTACGTTAAACAGAAATTACTATACAAATCTCGAGACTTTATTAGCACTTTCTTATGTTTTTATACAGTAAGATAACTGTTTTGCCCCAAATCCTTTTTAAGCTCACATAAAATCTTTATATATGTATAAAATCACGTCACATGTTGCCATAAACAGCAAACTCCGCAGTGTTTGTGATCACAGCGTTAGTAAATCTGTGTTCCTTGTATTTGCTTTTGTGTCCTACAACAGAATGGACTTGGAACACAATAACCTCCTGTCCCTCATTTCCTTTGCTTCAGTGCTGATTAGCTGTAAGTGACAGCCCTCTCCCATGTTATTGTTAAAGTATTAATGTGTTGAATCCCTKTGGAGGGCAATAACTCAGCTCAAATTTTCATCTACAGATGCTTATCGCTCAGTTCATTGTTAAAGGTTGGGGATTTGTAACAGTGGAGATGCAGAGGTGGAGACAACACTGCTGGGTGAACAAGAGACAGAGATGTGCTTTGTTTGATAAACACACTTACATGAACACACACACACATGTAAGTCTAATGTTTGTGTGTGACCTGTGAAAAAGAATATACATTTAGGAACAACACTCGTTTTAAAATGTATTTTATTATTCATGCCAAATTCTAATTTTAAAGAACAAAAACTGAAATTAACTGCAGAGTAGACTTAATGTAACATTTTGGTTTATATTTTTGACCAGTGATCACGTGTGTTTGATTTACTTTTGGAAAAAGCCAAAGTGACTAAAAACAGGTCAAAAGGTAAACTTTCTGGTCATATTTGTTTACAGACTACAGACAGCATGCAGGTCAGTCATGTGACTCAAGTTGGATTCAATGAAGTGCTTTGTTTACACCGAGTGAGGACCTGCCTTTCATTAAAAATGTTTAAATTTAGAGGAATAAACTTTTTAAAACTGTACCCCTTGGTATAATTCATGATTACCTTTGTTATGTTTGGTTTCAAATTTGAATAATCTAAAGGAYTGATGAAATCTGCTGAAAAATCTAAAACTGAGTTGTTAAAGCTTAAAAAAAACACAACACTAACCAGAAGCCAAATACTATAGCTAAATGGCAAAACTGCAAAATAACAGAAGATAAAAGTAGCAGAGCATTTGCTAAAACCAGCAAAAGGCAATGMTAAAGGTAACAAAGACAAGTACTACTAATAGTATTATTGGGCCAGCTAAAAGCTAATAAAAATATCAAAAAGCTAGCTGGAAGCTAAGTAGTGAAAGACTGGCTAAAACAAGAAATTCAAGATATTCTAATGCATTTCTATTCAAAAAAGTATGTAAGTAAAAGTAAATTTCTGCATGAGCGGTCCTATTAGGTTTAGCTTTACATAAAAAATTGAAAGGCCCTGTCACACTATAACGTTTTAGATGACTCATGCYAACTTTTAAAATTTTTTAGAGACATCTACAGTGAAGATGGAACAAAAAAATCAACTCAAAGCCTGTTTTAGGCACGTACATGCTGTAATGCTAACAAATTGTTGAGATTGTTCTGAACTGTAATTTAATTGCAAATGGACTTTAGCACCTTTCTACCCATCCAGGATACTCAAAGTGCTTCAAACTCCAATCTGTGTCCTCATTTACCCATTCACACAGCACTCAGGTACAAAGCTAACATGTACAATAATCTGTGGAGACTAATCAGTACCAATCACATTCATACACTGATGGGACACACATCAGATGCATTAGGGGTGAAGTGTCTTGCCCAAGGACACAACAACTGAGACAGCTGGACGGGGGATCGAACTGCGACCTTCCAGTTCCAGGACAACTCCCCTAACCACTCTGCCACAGCCACCCTATTATACAGTATGTCATTGTGCTCTGTACAATGACAATAAAGGTCTGTCTAATCTAATCTAAATATATACATTTTATTAGTAATTTAAAATTGTTTTCATAGGTTGACATAAGTCAGGGCTATTCAACTAAATTGCTCCGGGGCCCACAGTTAATGCAGACCAACAGTTCAGGGGTCAAACATCTAGCAAATAAGGTTGTTACGTAAATAAACTAAGTATCACAAAGATCCGTTACCTTTGAAATAGTTTATTTTGCTGTATTTAATCATGAAAACATACAGAACCCTACTTAATAAATGTAGTGATGATAAAACAAACAAACAAAAAAAACGTATTACACCTCTTAGTTACCACACAATATTTTGACATCTCTGACTTGCCAAATTTTTAAACCAATTTTATTTTCACTTTCATAGTTTTATCTTCAACTGCTTGTAGTTTTAAKTGTCTTGGATGTTCATAGAAATGGATTTTACCAGCTTGTAGCCAAGATTCTGACATTTCTGTAGACACCGAACTCGTCTAGGTTTAACTAAAATAACTTAGGGTAATTAAAGTTGAAAACCGGGGGTTTGGGCTTAAGAGATGAATGAACCAATTGGCGGGCCGAACTTTGGTCACTCAAGGGCCGGACGTGGCCCGCAGGCCGCCAGTTGAATAGYCCTGGCATAAGTTGTCTAAAATGTTGTATTGTGACAGGGCTTTAACACTTTTCTTGTTCCACATTAATTGAAACACTGCCAACTACAGTCAGGTTTTAACAAATGAAGTTAACATGTTAACAGGTTCGGGAGCAGGACCACGCCCAAATCCACACCTCCTAATTAATCTGCCAACCTATTTAATCTCTGCTCACCCATTCCTCAGTGTGTTACGT